AAGTTCATCTCACAAAGACAACGAAAGAATCCTGCTCTGAAAATAAAGGGTGAGAAGACAAAACTCATGATACCGAATAGGGAAACACGTAAGATTGAACCCAACTGCTCTATAGGTATCCCAAGAACAGTGAACAGGTTCTCCCCGCTGCTATCGTATAACTTGCCTTCAACACCTCCAAGTTGCAAAAAGGGTGGTGGGCTTCAACGTAGCAAGCCTTCTTACACGCAGACTAACGAAAACTACCAGAGAACTGGCCACCCAAATCACCCCCTGAAGCCTAAAACCATAAATAAGAATGGTAATAATAGGTTTCTCACTCCACACCCTACCTACATTCCCCAGGATCGCAACTGTAATTACTCTCAAAAAGAAAACTCATACCCTTTAGTTCCTACCCATCACATAACAACGGCTCCCATGTATAACAACAGTCGCAACTCCTCCCAGTTACGCGTAGCAGACCCCTCTCGCGCTAACGTAAATAGCCATAACAGGGGCTACGAGTCTAACCATCAAGACTATTTTGTAAATAACCATACACTTCACAGTAGGCCTGTACAAGATTTTTTTTGGAATAAGACCCCTAGTGACACCTCTGTTGAAGCATATAGCCCAGGTTATTTCAAACCACATGCAAAACATAAATTTGTTTCCTCCGTACAGTTTCCATCACAGAGTACTCCCACCCTTTCCTCCTGGGTAAACTCCCCAATCAACTTCACCAGCTCATTTGATACATCTCCCAATAAGTTTAACTATCAAAATACCGAGCTAATGAGGAACATCCAATCCCTCACATCAAACTCATCTTACACTCGCGAGGGTTACGACGACTTTATCCGAAATACCCTCACCCATTTTAACTTAGTAGGCCACTTGCTTAATATATGTCTTATCAACGCTCGATCGATCTGCAACAAAAAGACGGATTTAGCCCTGTTTGTATCCATATATCAACCATCAGTTATTATGATATCTGAAGCATGGACTAACAGTAATAACAAGTCCATTAGTTAGTCATGTATTCATAGTTGGGATCTACGGTGGTGAAGTAAAACCATCTGATTTCAGCGACATGTCAGCAGCACTTATAACTGAGTTACAAGAGTTGCTGACGGTAGGTATTAATGTTGATAAGTTTCACGTACATTTAACAGTTAAATTAGCTGCTGTTATTTGTGATGCTCCAGCTCGCAGCAACGTCAAGTACATTGTGGGACACAATGGTATCGCTGGCTGTGACAAATGTCAGGTTTTAGGGACGTACCGACCCTTTTCCCTCCAGTAATATTGGTATGTTTGAGTGTTCTACCTTAAGCCACGAATGCACGTGGATAACACTGACGACATACTTTGTAAGTGCATGTGTATGCGCACACAACACTATGAGGTTATTATCCCTCTTTTGCATACATTCGAGTAGCAGATGTGACATCATTTCTCAAGGACTGTTGCAAATATAGTACTACATGCAGTTAGTGTCTGTTGGTTAGTGCTTTGGCGTAGTCCATCAGAAAGTGTTCAAGAATGTAATCAATTTTCAATTCGTCACGCTGACAAGCCGAAAAGGTAAATTGTTCAACTTATTATATCACTTGTGCTAGGACTGTCAAACGAAAAAATACCGATTATTTATGCACCTCAGAAGAACTAGAGGTTGCTGAGGTTGAGGCTGGATTTGCCCCGGTGGAATTTCCAGTTGTCAACATTTTGATAGGAAACTTTTCTCTGATTGAGAGGTTTGTACCTACTTTATCAGTACTCATATAGTAGTTCATCAAAAGCTGATGTATCATTACCACCACTTCCACGTACGTCGACGGAAGTTGATAAACCGTAAGTTGCATTTACTGTATTCCTTATAACAAAAGTTTGTGCGATGATACAAACAAAATGTTAAGAACGCTCCTGAAATCGGTCAGTGAACTGTCTACAGAAATAGACAAAATCCTATTTTTGTGTGAACGCTTAGCCATGGGTGTAATCGACAGGCGTACAGAGGAAATGGATAGTGATGCTATACATTTCTCATTAAGAACGCATGAGGAGTTGCGTTCTTTAGAGGAGGCTTTAGAAAACCAAAAATACCGAGATCATTTCGTAAGTTGTAAAAGTTGTTTGGATAAATTTTAGGTGGCAAGATACGGCAACGTAATGTATAATGATCCTCGGAAATCTGCAAAAGCCTGTCTCAAATACCTCCTTTCTCCAGAACTGGCGAACACTTACACCTTGCACGGAGCCAGAAGTAAAATTGGTATTAGTAAATACAAATTTTACTCGACGGTTCGAAGTAAGTCCACATGACTGTATTAACATATTTGTAGGTGCTTTGTGTTCACGTTTCAGAGGTGCAAGCTGCCAGGAAAAGGATATAATACACGCCATGGCTACAGCAAACCAGGCCTTCAGTTTGTTCTACATTGTTTTTACTCGTTCCCTTTCTACTCTTTCCTGTATTGTTTTAGACTATTTATTAAAATTCAGTAATCAGTTGTATTCGCAATAACTGAAGTTCACTTTGGGGATTTCCACAAACCTCGCCGGATGATAATTATCATTGTATTTATCACTATTACCACTGTACCTTAATTACTGTTAGGGTTTATTACTTTGTGATCAATACTTAAAGTGATACAACTTTTGTCTTGTCCGTTTCCCTTTCAGCTGGCTTCGCAGGCTTTATCAGACGTAACTGTAAGTTCTTTGTTCGCATTATTAAGAACATTGTTATACTGTTGGTACATCATCGACCTTTCACATATCTTAACACGTTATTATACACTGAAAATGATTTTTTTTATTTTTCAGAATATTGTCAATGACAGTTCTACAACGGAATGAAAAACTTTGTATACATGGATTATTTGTAAATTTATTAACTGTAATAGGCATTTATATACGTCATAAATAAAAAAATAAATAAAAATAGCGACAAATCGGTTAACATTAAGTTTATTTGGCAATGCGCGATTAACGAAAAGTTGTAAAACATCCCAGTAATAAATGTACGTAAGCATTCTCCCTAGGTCTTCCGTGATGTCGATAGGTTTTCGTAAAGCTTTTGCGTTAAGACAGTTTTCCAGGAAAACCCAAAGGTTTGTGAAAGCTTCCCCAAAGTGATATCACTTTTATCTTCCCCGTTTCCCTTTCACCTGGCTTCGCAGGCTTTATTAGACGTAGCCGTAACTTATTTGTTCTTTTGTATATTGTTTTATACTACTTACTAAAATTCAGTAGTCAGTTGTATTCCCAATAACATTAGTTCGCTTTGGGGACTTCCCCAAAATTTACTATAGTGGCTTCCCCAAAATTTCTGCAAAATGGACCAAATTTTCCCCAAATTTGGCAGCTTGAGAGTACAGTGATGTTTGGCTTACCTTTTACCAGAAGGACTTGGCCGAAAACAGGGATATGCTCGCCAGTTTTCAAGTTTCGACGGTGGCGTTACAGTCACTGTTTATATGAATGAGATAGGTCAAAAGTCTTTTATCTGTAGGTGTTCTAAAACCCCTACCCTAGAGTGAATGAAGACAATCTTTATAGCCAAAACAGCTGATAGTTCTAATTCTTCAGAGAAAGAGATCAGCTGCTCAACTTTGTTGTCCATACGTTGTTGTACTACCGCCCACTACTACTGCTTAATCTATAAGATCTTACGTGAAAGTCACATCACCGTCCACACCAACTCATCGCATCATAACAGTCACCAATACATGATGGGGAACACATTCAGGCTGGATATAGAACAATATGTTTAATATGAATAAAAGATATAAGATACATTCAACAGGGACCACGCCTGCAAGTTCGAGCCATGCCATTCGATCAGTTGGAATTCATTTTAATTAACTGTTCCCGCCTTCTCAGTCGTTGGGTTTTTCTCTGCGTTAAATATTGAATATCTATTTTCTGAGTAGTCTCGTGTTCAGCTTTGACGGTTGTGTGGTTAGGGCCCAATGGCACTACATGCTCTCCCATCAGAAGTGACCACAGCCCCCTTAGTGGATAGCTTTAAGAAGAGGCTTGATAAACACGTATTCACCCATAAAGTGCCATCTCCGGCTTGTATCAATTGTGCCTGATGCATGTCTTGTAGATTGCCTGCTGTCATCGTTATTACATATCAGTAGCTACATTCTATCTCGCTTATTACAATCTCAGTTTCCCCTTTTATCCTTGCACTTCCGTCTGCTCTCACGGTTGGCATTACACACCAATCAACTCACTTGATCACTCATTGATTGAGACAATCGTCTTCTCCCAGTATTCGGATTTTCTCTTCGTTTTATACATTACAACCAGCCAGCCAACCTCCTGCCTAGTAATGGACATTACCAAATTCCTGGAACTGTGTTGAAATAACAGGAAGTGTGTGCCCAAATTAGTCTGTCGATATGGGCTAACAATAAAGATATTTGGTACTGAATGCTTTATTCTCATCCACATGGTGTGTTTTTTAAATAGGGCTAGTTCGAGTCCGACAGAGCGTAACTGGTTTACCTACTTATTTCTTGTTTGAATTCGAAGAATATCCTGATTTCAGGCTTGTGTTTTTACTGACTTTTGCGATTGCTTTTCTTAACAAATACAACTGAATTATGTGAGCCTGTTAAGTCGACCCACCAATTTTCGCTCTAGTTTTCGTTCTTCCTAACGCCATTGTGAGCACTCCCGTAGTACACAAAGTACTTTATATCTAAACGCGAACTGCTACACTGAGACTGTGGTTAAGCCTTCAATAGTCGGCTGATGGTAAAAACTGGAGCTTGCATGGTAAAAGCTTCTCTTATTCCATCCACAAACATTTTATGGGGCCAGTGGTTTACAAGTGGAAGGGTTATTGTAAGAATTAAGACGTCATATGTTTCCATGTGGATCACAGAATTAGTATAGAATCTCAAATAGTTTGAAGCTAGCTTTTCACTCAAAATTTATCACATTAGTAAGGAATTAGTAGAAATTTTAACTTTGTTTGTTTTTGCAGCCCGGAGTCTGCAGTTTTAAATAGTTCTTATATTTCCGTCCATCCATTACTTTGCGTTCAGTAAGTATTTACGTTGTGCTGACGCTAAAGAATACTGACACAGAAATAAACAGCAACATTTCTGAATTTATATACATATATGACCTATTCAGCAACTCCACGTATACTACACACTATAGTGTGTATATATGCATGGAGTTTCATTGTACTACAACGCAGTATATGTTATAAATTGAGTCTAGTAGTATTTTAATTGTAAGGCTGTTGGAATGAGAGAATTCATTTGATATGGATCCAAATTACTCTATCTCTTCAGATTCGCGGATTTTGCATTTAATGCAATTGACTTTTCTCATTTTGGCCATAAATAATCATGGTCACCGTTGGCTAATTAAGCACAATATTTTATGTAGTTTCATGCAGAAATTAAGTGAACCGTTAGTATTCTTTTGCATGAATTTAGAGGCTCTGTAGTCGGCCATATGGTGAGACCATTGGTGAGCAGTTGGCTTTCAGTGCGCTGTCGTCCTAAAGTTCTAAGTGAAACTTTGGGAGTGGTGCTTGGTTGTTGATGTACTTTTGATCAATCTTGTACGAATTGGCTTCCAAGCAATGTTTTTATTACTTAACTAACCTGGTCAAATCATCCCTACGGTTCAAACCTCTGAACATCACTGCACCTTAAAATCCAGTGACAGTTATCTCATAACTATATAATGTTTACTTTTAAGTGCTGACGATGCGTTACCATCAATAAGTCGCTGAAAGTATTTAGGAAAGTAGTTTGCCAATCTTATTCTGAGAATATGAGGACACGAATGATATTCAAAACAAAAGATAGAGAGTATTGTCTTCATTTACAACGGAGGGCCAAACAAATTCCTTTAGAAATAATTGATTACTACTGTCAAATGATCATATGATGTAATATATTCAGATGCATGTAGGGGTAAAATATAAATATGACCGCCCAAAATTTTAAGCCACATCACCTGTGATACCTAACCTTTATTATTTTACTGAGCATAGATCACTATAATGAGTTACCACAGCCTTCTTACATCAAAAAGTCTTGTCAACCACGAATTACTAGTACAGTAACCATAATACTTTAAAGAAAGTCAAACTTCTTGGCTTTATTTGAGTTTGATTCCGCTGTATTTATTTTTTTTGTAAGGAAAGTCATATGCTCGTCTTTTGGTTTACGCGACCAAATGACGGCACTTTTATATCTGTTCTTGACCAACGCACTCCATCTTTAACAACACTGTTGGTTGTGTGGTGTAGATTTTAGAAGTGTTTTTTACATTTTGGTGCTCTTTTGGTTTGTCGTTTTATTTCACTAAGACTGCAATAGCCGATGTGGTAACCATGAAATGGATATACTTATTATTCCTTTGAATGTGATCTTCAAGTCGTCCCAAACCTTTTCAATTGCCCGTCATATGTTAGCAGACTAATCTTACAATAAAATACTTTATGATCGTCAAGATGTTTATGCTCAATATATTTAAACGAGAGAACAATCAGACAAAATTGTGTATTATAAACCTGAAATACACCTAACTCTATTCACTCATTAATAATGGAAAGTCGAATGTCGACAACATCATGAATATGCTGCATGGAAGCATTTTAAATAACCTACCCAGTAAAGGATTATGACTTAAAGTATGGTTGTTATATCTTATTTTTGTGATACATATTGTGCGGGGTATCGGTTCTTTCTCCAGACAGCTCTAATATAAAACGCTTAGGATTTCTGAAAAACCGCTTATTATATTCATGCACGTCTCAAAGGTATTCCAAGTCATCGATACCCAGAAATTCAGTTTTCATGATTGTTATTGTTCATATTACCTCTTTTAAGCCACCATTCTTGAACGTATTTGTAAATTAAAATCTTAAGTTTTCAATAGTTTACAGGTTGTCAACAAGTTTAAGTCTCTCCCGATTCCGGTTTTCACACCTTTTCCCATGATACGTATATTCGAAAATCCTGACTTAATAAAATGTTCTAACTAAGTGATAAACATTTAACTGATATTTATTTGTTATAGAACTGGGAAACGTTTGTCTTCAGTTATTGATGCCAGATTTTACATTGTGTTCACTGCTAAAATTACATTATGATCTAACCAATGTGTTAACTACTGGAGATGTATTGATTTTTGTGATCATTAGATTTTAAGTTGTATTTGTGAATATCGGTGGCTTTTTATACACTGCATAGATCTAAAAAGGACTGGTATTACCCTATCAATCGTTCTTAAGCTCACTAATGTGTGATTAGGTGAACTTTTGTAGTGTGACTACATTTATGTTAATTTAGCACACTAGACCAAAAGATTATTACTGAACTTCGCCTGCTTTTTTCCTAGATTTGTTTTAGATTCATATATTGTTTCCCGGATTTTCGTAGATATTTAAGTTTGTATTTTTTCTGCTAGCGAGCTGTTTAAGCCATCCATTTTGAGTTTGAATTTACTAACACTGATAAAAACTACATGTATTAGAAGCTCATCATGAACAGTGGTTGTCGAGTTCTGTAAACCGTCAAGCAAATTATATGCGCACAGTTAGTTATGCTAATCGTTAAAGTTTTATGTAAAGGATTAATACAATTGTATTAAATACTTATGATCTTCTATTTATAGATGTCTTCTGTGAAGGATTGTACATGTGACAAGTTAAAATCTTTCAAAAGTCCATGGTGTGATGCTGACTGTTTTGTTGTAATCACAGGTGCAAGTCGTGGATTTGGTCGGGCGTTCGCTGTAGAGCTAGTAAAGTCAATGTCATCTGGGGAAGACCATGCTGCTTCCTTAAATGTTTTACTAATGGCTCGTGATGTTAATGCTCTTCGTGTAACGGAGTCTGAGGTGAGTTTATCTATAGAAGTTTCTTCCCTGATGTAACCAATATGATTAGAAATTGGCTAGTTGATCATAGCAATCCAGGCTTAACAAAAGAATGTCATTTGATGTATAAAATGATAAAAAATGTATGTAAATACTTTTCTATATCTTATGAATCAACATGCTGTATTAATAAGTCAGTCATCGTTGGGTATATTGAATCCTTATATACAATATCTGAAGAAAGCAAGTGTAAGATCATGTATTGATTTAACGCAATTTTTTTTATCATGCGGCTTCTGTTCAATATGATATCTAATTGTATTAATTTTGTGTTGCAGTTTAACAATAAGCAGTGTTTACTGAGTATAATCTGTATACAATGAAATGAATCTAAACGTCAATTGATCTTATTTAGTTTTTACGGAATAAGTCTTCCGTATATGTTTTGTCTCTTGTAGTACCTCGGGTTAGAAGACAAAAGAGCTGTTGTATACTGATATCAAAATGTAGTCAAGATTTATTGCTTTTATCACACACATCTCAATCAGCCATTATCATCGTAGAACCTGATACAAATGTATGCCGATTCACGTTAAACAACGTAAGAAAACAATTAATCTAAGTTGAAGCAGAAATCTTAACCATTTAGTCGAAAACATTTACATTGCCCAAAATTACCATACCTTATCAGTACAGAAGGGTAAAATTAACATCATGAGTAAGCAACGAGTAAAGACGATAATAGTATCGATATATGTTAAAGAGAATGATTAAATATAAAGAATACAGTTCGAAAAAGAATGGATGAAAAGAGTATTTTGAAGGTATATTGGACCTAAAAATTTCAAGCAAATAAGGTATTTCAGACAGCCAAACAGCACACAGACGACTGTTAACGAGGATCCACCCTAATAGTGCTTGTTCTGCCCTCGTACTTATTGCTATGCCTACACCTGCCGATTCACGAGAACTAGCCATCGGGTCGCCAGATACACGAAGGGTGTATCTCGTTGGCTCTCCGTTTTGGCGAGATGAGGTCCAAACGTTGACCACACTAGGATTCTGTATGCGTGTTTCAGAGACACAGCACACATCAATGGTACGAGATTCTAGGGTTTTAGCCAAGGAGGCTTGTTGACCGATTTGACATAGGGTGCGTACGTTGAAGGCTCCAATGTGTAGTTTGGAGCGAGGTTTCAGTAGATATGTGACAGTGTTTTGAGCACTAGAATCGTTGGCTATGGTGACACTTGAGGTGGAAGCGAAAAGAGGAAGTTTATGGTTGAAAGTCGATGTAGGACGATTAATACGAATTGAAGAGGGAGGTTGATTATGAAACTATATCTATATCAATTGGTTGGCCAGGTTTTATAGTTATGTACACTTTAATTGGTTTATAACAAAATATCACTAATAATATTGTTTTGTTGTGTGTATATCTTTAGATAATATTCTTTGTATAAGTTATGTGTACTATATGAAAACGGACAACTGAACTTTAAACTTTGTTCAAGATACGCTGAGCAATAACAGAGGAGAGTAGATAAAAAAATTTTTCATATCCCTTATTCTTCTCCTTCCAAATTTATTTCCCTGGATTATACCCCTTCAATAACATCTTCAAACTGTAATCTTTTAGATGACTGCTTATACTTTTACTACCTCTACCACTACAGGATTTGGATCGACAACTGCATCTCTGTTCTAATGTGGTATGGCAACTCGGACTGATGTACGTACGTACGTACGAAGTTCTACGTTGTTGCTGACTGTAGATAAAAACATGATAAAAGCTAATTAAGATTGAAACGTTCCATTGTGCAAATGAAATTATTTTCTTTATGTTTCGTATTTTTTACGAAGTTAATACGTAGTTCTGTTTATATTCCTGTTACCGTATCTATGTCTTGTTAACTTGTAGTCAGTCAGTAACAACGCAGAACTTCGTACGTATGTACATCAGTTCGAGTTGCCACACCACATTAGCACAGAGATGCAGTGGTCGATTCAAATCCCGTACTGCTAGATGTAGTTAGGGTTTGAAGATGTTATTCAAGGAGTATAATCCAGTGAAATAAATTTGGGAAGAGAAAAAAGAAAGAGACATGAAGAAGTCAGAAGATTAGAATTTGGGAGAACACAAAGAGTGGATGCACCTGCGGCATTGCATAACTTGTAGTCATCATCCATGAATCTTTGCTAACATTCTAGAAGCCTTTATTTAAGAATTCTTTACATGGATACATTAATCATTTGTGGACTTTCCGTTCTAGTTAATTGTTTTGGTTATTAAAGTGGAGCTTTCAAAAACTTACTATTCCTGGCCATTTATCCCATAACTTTATCCTCTGTTCCCATTTTTTTATATGAAATATTGTTATTCCACTATGTGGATCGTGCATTCTTCATCCTGATACTCTGTTGCACTGAAGGCTTTATGACAAAGTAGTTTTTAGTACGAGCTAAATGGCCGATGCTGCTGTCAAGGTCTTTCATATATAATACTCAAAAGACATACATAATAGATGATGGTGGTTGGTAGAAACAAAATATTTGAACGGATGCAGTGACTATTAGATTAACCGTCTAAAGGAGTGCAAGTGTCACACTTAGTCAGTTGGTTAGTTATGTGCAACGTAGAAACTGATATATATGTACATCAGTTCAAATTGTCATACCATATCAATACAGCTAAGTAAAGATGTTAGATTAGTGGAAGCAGTAACAATATCGGTGGTAGAGGAGAAGATTAGACATAGATATAGTTAACCGAGGTAAAAGAATGAGTTCATCGGATAAAATTCATAAGATAGTTAAAATACTTAAGATCTAAGGTAAAACAATACGTAATGCACGCAATGTCGAGTCATCTAGACTAATGGCTACATTTCAACTTGGTCGATAGCGTTTTATCTGCATTAAGAAGGACCTGACACACATGAAATTGATCACTACCGAATGATCAATCAATTGTGAATACATCTCAGTCATACAGGAGGTCAGTTGCGGCCCGGATAGCCCAGTGGTAACATTTCTGACTGTGAAGCTGGGTGATTTATTTTATTTAAACACATAAACATTGGTACAAGAAGACACCAAATAGTTATGCGCCACACAACTCATTCGATTTGTACGACGGCTGGGATACTGCTCGGGTGCCCAAACCGAAGCAGGTGGTTTCTTAGGAGGCCGCACCCCGAGCCTTCGACCTAAAGGTCCAATCCATATAACAATGGGGCAACGTCAGAAGATTCTGTCCTATGGTAGCCGGTGACCAATGATTGGTTCGTACTCCAATTGTTCCTTCAGGATCATGGAGCTCATGTGAACGATTGGTTTAGAATGAGGGTTTTCCAACTCCCATAGGTGGATCCTCCATATCCATAAACCCTGTTAAAGTGCCGGACATTCGCTTTTCGTCCTCTCGATTTCTTAAAAATCAGTAATGTCGCGAGAAGGCAGTGAGTAATACTTCCCTGGCATTGGTTGTATGTACGTGGCCATGTGAAAACATTTAGAGAGGGAGAGCCGACTCTCCCCACTCTCGGCCATACCAGGGCATTTGGGGGCTGGGTGACATGGGACCGAATCCATCAGGGGCACCATTTCCCCCAAGATTACAGGTACATCTTGCTGACAAATGCCAAATAGCACGAAACCGGGGTACAGGATCTCCTGTTGACCACCTTCAACCACCATCTTAGCTATTTATTTATATTACTTATTATCAACCATAATGTCTTATAAATAAACGAATTGGTAGGTGCAAACTACTTGGTTGGGGTCCACGAGACTATCGTAACCAGAATCGATCACAATGGTGTAGGTGTATACACATTCTGTCTTCCTTTAAACTATGCGATTAAAATCGCTTCATGTATTTCTCTCTACCAACTAATTCTTTCTTCCTGTACTATATCCCTATATACAATCTTTCTTTTATATATTACCTACACTGAATCCGGTATTCAGCTTGTTGTGCTAACGAGGTATGGCAACTTGGACCGATACATATATGTGCCTAGTCTTAAGTCGTAGCCGAATGACTGATTTAAATTTATGTAAATGATTCAATGCTTTCTTTTTCCCTTTCTTTTTTTTCTCTTAAATTCTTGCACAGATGTATGCTTCATTATCAACTAATTCTAAAATGAAATTAACTATACTAGTATCAACATCATCACTTGATATGTCTAATGCTAATAAAGATAATTTATTAAATGATTTAAAACCATTATTTCAATTAAATTCATTATATCCTATTCAATCTAATATAAAATGTCAATGGAATATGCTTGTACATAATGCAGCTACATTAGGTAATATCAAGTCAAAATCATATGAATGTTATAATATTGATATATTAGATACATATTATCATACTAATTTAACTGCACCTATCTTATTAACAAATTTATTTATAGAATATTTTATCACTAATCATCAACCTATTACTATAGTGAATATATCTAGTTTAACAGCTATTCAACCATTTCCATATATGTCAGATTATTGTATTGGTAAATCAGCTAGAGAAATGTATTTTAAATGTTTATCTATAGATAATCCATCATTAGCTATATTAAATTATTCTCCAGGACCATTAAATACAAATATGTTAACAGAAATCATAGAAAATCATGGTCATATAGATACACGTATTCAATTTAATAATATGAAATTAAATCATCAAATTATTGAATCAAATGAATCAGCTCGTGTATGTATTGGATGGCTTAAAAAACAAATACCAATAGATCCATCTAATATAAATTCTATACCGAAATTAATACATTGTTTAATGCATGATAAAGAGTATACAAATTTATGGTTAGGTATACATTTAGATTATTTTGATGCTGTTGAGAAAGTTTAAAGAAGAAGAAGAAGGAAAAAAATGCATCAACATTGTCGACGATGAGATTGTGAATTTCATAACTTCTCAATTCTATCATCAGAAATGAATGATATATTCATATAAGTGTCAACTATTCTATATTATGAAGTAAGTATTTATTCTGTTGTCATCTTTCCCGTTTTTGTTTTGATATTGCCAATTCAGCTTTATGTGTGTGTGTGTGTGTGTGTGTATGAATTCTTGATCTATGTTACATCGTGTTATACTTATATCTCTAATAAAAGGTTAGCGATCTAAAATATAGTTTCTTTTTGTGTTTTTCATAAATCAAGAATGTTTAGAATCAACTTTTGTTCTATCCTATTGTAATGGTCAATAATCAATATAATCTTTAAACTTCGTCCTGATAAACATCTTTATAGATAACGCTCCAACCTGTGTATTAATCAGAAAGCGAATACGAAGTGTTGATTACGTTAATTATTGCATCATACACAGATCACCAAAATTAAGCGTGAAAGGGTAGTGCTGAAAAGCAAGCGGTTAAGTGAATGGGCATTCGAGTCAAATGAACGAGTGAGTGAACAAGATAAAATGTACATATATATACATGGTGAAATGAATGAATCATCAAATCAATTAAGTGGCCCTCAAATGTACTGATACGGCTGGTAGTGGAGAAAGTCAGCTCTCTCGAAATGCTCTCACATGACCATGTGCATATAATCACTGCCTTCTCGCCGTGAGGGTGTTGTTTACGACATTGTGAGGAAGAAAAGCGATTTCGCGGCGCTTTAACGGTGCTGATGGATACAGAGGATCTACATAGGAGAGTTGAAGAAACCTGATTGCAAACAATTGGTGGACATAGGCTCCAGGATCCTGAAGGAACGGATGGCATATGAACCAATCGTTGGTCACCGGCTACCATGTGACTGTATCTTCTGACGTTGCCCCACTATGTTGTGGATCAAATCTTTAAATCGAAGGCTCCGGGTGTGTCCCCTTAGAAAACCACCTGCTTCGTTCTGGGCACCCGGGCAGTATCCCAGCCCTCACATAAATCGAATAATTTACGTAGCGCATATTTGGTGTCCTCTTGTACCAATGTTTATGTTATCTATTAAGTGACTGATAGTAAGGCTAGCAGGAAATAAACAATGCTCAAGCATACATATTCATACAAGTGCAACAATAATTAAGGTACAATGGTATAGATAACTTGTTATTGTACGAATGACTCTGTCCGTCGAATAAGTTAACAAAAAGGCTTAATCAAATCAAATGTGAACAAACTCAATTGCACGTGAGCTGCTATATTCGTCTTTTGGAAGCTTACAAAACACTTAATGTATTTTTCAAATCTGTCATTACTTGGATGTATATTCAGTTGTGTAATATCGAAGTTTATTAGTATACTGGATCGAATAACTATTTTTATTGCTTTAACTCAAAAAAATAGTGGGAATTCTCAGATTTATCCAAAACTCAATTATAGTAGTTACGAACAAACCAACATTAAAAGGCAAAAACATACGTGATTATACATTACTGAATGTAAAGAGATTGAGCAATAGTTATTTATGAAGCATTTATCAGTTATTACAAACACTATAACTAGTCATTGGATTTTCAGCTGATCAATATAGGTTTTTGTAATCAATTCTGAACTACATTTCTTATATGAAGATTAGGGTAACTGCTAATCAACTCCTGATATTGGAGTATATTTAGGATGGGGTTTGAACCTGAAGTGTACGAGTTTAAAGCTGACAATCTTGAATGCTCATCAATCACTTCATACATAGCTCAGGAGTACATTAGTCTCACTTGCTACTTTTCACGATAAAGTTGAACGAATAGTTGATTAGAGAATAGAAATGTGATTTATACACTTGTTCAACCTAATTCATACCATTAGATATATAGTAAAAGTTAGCAAAGATTGTCTTAAAATATTAGAGGGAAATGTAAAATGCCTGGAAATGTTTGGTTTTACATAGTACTACAAGGAAATGGGTTGATTAGTCATCATCAAATGCATTGAACCATCAATGTAGCTAAGATCACTTCTTGCCTTTGTTACATACATGCTATCTTACGCTTAATAACACTCATCGAGGAGCAAAGACCACCCACCAGCATTCTTCATCCAACTCTGATCTGGGCTGTCCTTTCCAGTTTTATTCATCCTTTTCATGTCTACTTCTATTTCCCGACGTAATGTGTTCTTTGGCCTTCCTCTTTTCCGTTTTTCTTCACTATACCAAGTTAGCGCTTGCCATGTGATACATTTTGATGATTTCCGTAATATATTTCCTATCCACTTCCAATGTCTTTTTCTAATTCCCTTCTCATTTCGAAGTTGGTTTATTCTCTCTCATAGTAATCCATGCTATCTCATAGCTAGTAAATGGATTATCAAAATTTTAACAACAGCAACAACAACAACAACAAGAAAGCATGTTTATATTATTTGAAAGTCATTCATAAAAACATTTCCTTTCTATAATAACATTCCAATCTCAGATAAGTTCAATCTTATCAATAGAAAGAATAAGACAAACAATTTATTCTTGAATAAATTAGAAGAGAGAACATTTTTAACTCAGTTAGAAATTTAGTGGAATTTTCTATTCTACAAAAAGACAGTTATTTCAATGGATATAGATCTTATCAACTAACTAAAAAGTCTTTTTTGAATCATCTATTTACAAACATTAAGTGATCTTTAATATTATTTCTATCCCGAATTTGTCAAAGTTATTAGCATATTATGTAGAGTTATCAAAATATGAGAAAAGTTGAAGAAGTGTGTCTTAATTCTTATCAAATGATGTGGATTTGTAGTGATTTTTTTTTACTGAGTTTATAAAGACTGATTATCATAAAGTAATGTTATTTAACAGTTGAATTCATGAATTGATCTAAGATTACTATTGAAAACTTGAACGTATTGGATGGTTGTTTCAAGTTTCCAATGGGGGTCTAGCTTAGATTGATTCATGAATTCAGCTGTTCAAGTTACTATAATCTCCACAAATCCCCCATTCTGAGATCATTTCGTTAAATATTGGAAATCCAAGGACAACAAACCCATGAGAAGCCGACCAGTGTAGCAACAGTAGTAGGTCTTAACATACACAAACGGAAAATCAAGATTGTCCGATACAACACAACATGCACCAATCAAACATCACTTGACGGAGAAGCTTTGGAGGATGTAGAAACCTTTACATATTTGGGCAGCATCATTGATGAACACAGTGGATGTGATGCAGATGTGAAGGCGCGGATCGGCAAAACAAGAGCAGCGTATTTACAACTGATGAACATCTGGAACTCAAAACAACTGTCAACCAACACCAAAGTGAGAATTTTCAATACGGATGTGAAGACAGTTCTACTGTATGGGGTGGAAACTTTCAGAACTACGAAAGCCATCATCCAGAAGGTACAAATGCTTATTCACAGTTATCTACACAAAATACTTCGGATCCATTGATCTGAACAAACCAGATTCCAGTGGAGGAGGAAACCAGGAAGAAGCATTGGGAGCGGATAGAACACACATTGAGGAAAGCACCCAACTGTGTCAAAAAGCATGCCCTGACTTGTAATCCTCAGGGCCAAAGGAAAAGAAGAAGGCCAAAGAACACATTGGGCCGAAAAATGCAGAAAGACATGAGAAGAAGAAACAACAATTGGATGGAACTGGAAAGGAAGGCCCAAGCCAGGGTGGGTTGAAGAATGCTGGTCCGCCGCCTAAGCTCCATTTGGGGAGTAACAGGCGTATGTAAATAAAAAGTAAAAGGACATTGGTATAGTATCCACAACTACAACTTGTAAAGTCAACCAAATCTGAAGTTAGATAGTAATCAACTGACCGTATTGAAAAAAGGCTATCAGAAATTATTACATCTTAAGTATCACTCATAATATGGGTCATTTGATCATAATAATATTATGCTAGCAAATAAACCTCCAGGACATGAATACATTGTATGCTCAGTGAAAGTAATACTAGAATGATACAACTATCATGTCTTCAATCATTTTACCCAGTAAAAGTTAGTTTCATTTAAGGAACTTCTGATTAAATAACATTTAGGTGTCAGGTAACTTGGAAAATACTGGCATTTGGACCAGAAATCCAACAGTACTGTTTACTAAAAGATGTGAAGGCTTTTAGTCAGATACTACCTCTGTAAGTAATACAAATCTTCTCATTAATGATTGACTTCGAGATGGATTCCCTGAAGCCTTAAAAGCGACTGATAACTGACTTATCAAATCAAGGAAGCCACTAGTGGTATAATAAATTATAAATAAACATTGGATGTGTCTTCCAGTATATGTATTAAGATGATTAGGTTTGGAAAGTTCAAATTTTTGTATTTCAACCCATCTACTATATTACACTGTACTTCATACGTGTTTATAATCAAGTTTATGAATGACACTAATTCATGCACGAAAAATTATAAGCGGTGATAATTTCCAATACAGATTTCAATGAACAGTATATTTTACATTCTTACTAGTTTGAATTACTTAGTCTAAATGATTCACTCAGAGTGAGCATTTGTACTCATCAGGGATCCAATGATCAAACTGTATTGAGGTAGCACTGTAAAGAAATTACAATGAAACTGTCTCTATTTTATGAAAGGTGTAACAAAAATCTTTCAGTTTCTTTATGAGAAAGGTATCACTGAGCTAAATTCCAATGACTCACACTTATTATTAAATTTAATTGGTGATGTATCACAAATCTGCATGTCTTCGTTGAATTACTACATGAAAAGTGGTTTGACTAACTGTAACAATTTTTAGAACATTTCCATGAGGACTGTCCTGAGTCAGATTAATAATTCCGCGTACTTATGCATAACTCTTTCTCACATATACTGTGTGCTGTGTCTCGCTTCACCCTTTATATGCCTCCAAATGCTATGGTACGACTGAGGGTGGATGGGGGAGTCAGCTCTTCCTCTCGAAATTCTCTCACACGACAATGCGTATTCAGCCACTGCCGGGGAAATCCTACTCACTTCCTTCTCACGGTGAGGGTGTTGTTTACGAAATTGTGAGGAAGAAAAGCGATTTCGCGGCGCTTTAACGGTGCTGATGGATACAGAGGATCTACATAGGAGAGTTGAAGAAACCTGATTGCAAACAATTGGTGGACATAGGCTCCAGGATCCTGAAGGAACGGATGGCATATGAACCAATCGTTGGTCACCGGCTACCATGTGACTGTATCTTCTGACGTTGCCCCACTATGTTGTGGATCAGATCTTTGAATCGAAGGCTCCGGGTGTGTCCCCTTAGAAAACCACTTGCTTCGGTCTGGGCACCCGGTCGATGATATTGAATTAATAATGTTCTTTTTATAATCCTGACTATTAATTAACTAACATCAATAAAGTCACTGAATGTTCTCTAAATCTTAGCATCATTTCCCTTAGGACTGAAGGTATGCTATGATGGTATATGTCAACCAAAAGGAAATCTGGATTCGGAGTTCCCTGTCAAGTTATAATCAAATGTAGTGCATGGGATATTAATTTATTTAGACTAGTGACTATGTTACAAATTGATTTATAGGATTCAATTAGTACGATGGATTAGATAAAGATTCTACTGGTTATTACTGAACAATTAATCAGTGAGAATGTTCTTATTTTATATCTACCTATCTTATATGATCCTAGACGTACCATAATCTATACTGGTGGAGTCTTTCAAAAAGCAGTCTGATAAGCATCAAGAACCACGAAAAATTATTTCAGACGCTAAACAGTGATCTATTCTGATCAGAGAATCATAGTTAGGTATTTTATGTAGGGAATAAAAAATAAGTATACAGTAAATGAGATTTTTCCAGTTGGAATATACAATCTAATTGACACCGGAACTCATCATCTCAAGTATTTACAAAATTAATAAGTCATAAAAACTATCTGTTCAACTGCAAGGTTGGGTATGTCAGCATGTGTATTTACATGTTCAACTGATGAATCCTCGAAACATTGGATAAAATCTATGATACACTGATTAACATTTGTGTCATTTAACCAATACACCACTACTTCTGTAGTACAGCTCAAATTTAAACGGAATAGAACTTGATGTACGTGGTTGTATCATAATTTTGACATAAAATGTATTATAACCACTGACTTGATTAACTGAACAAAAACTTTCCAGTTCTTGTTCTTTGAGCTGGATGGTTTAGTCGTGGAGCTTTCATTGTTCTTGTGAACGACATCATTAGTACAAACTTCATCGTTCAGAAGGACGATGAAAGCTTCACGACCAAAGAATTCAGCTCAGAGAACAAAACTTCATTGAACTCATCCAACTGAGCTACAAATCTTCTCCACCACTTCTTTTTCCAGTGAATCGAACACAAAATTACTCATCTAGATTTTACTATGATTATGTGTATGGAAATCTCAGATAATAAAATGACCCAATAGTTCTAAACAATCAGTTACTATGGAAGCATTACATTCAACAAATTTTCAGGTTATAAAATTTAAAAAAGCCTCAGTCATTGTGGCATTAACCTATTTGTAATTAGTTCTATCGCTTTTATCATCTAAGAATGAGTGGGATAATTTTATAGGAACGTTTGAAGTTTTTCAATTATATTAGAACAATAGAAAAGAGTCTAAGAAAGTCATTTATTATGACTTTATATTTATTTAAGAACTTTATGTTTCACTGTTCTAAGCTTTTTCTCTTGTAGTGATTCAATTGATGAACGTTTGTTCTAGTTCCAACGCTGATTGAACTTGAATTTTTGAATAGTTATCAAGAGCACAGATCCATTCTATTTTTCAATGTTACAATAAACTTTCTACCCAGTTAACTAGAGTATTTGTATAGTTTCCAGAAGGATCTAACAAACTGAAAAAAAACCAGTTTTTTTTTCTAACTTGCTTAGTTAAGTGTTTAAATTATTACTAATACTAAAAATGTATTCAGAAATCTCCAGAAACCAAGTCAATCATTAGTAGCCATATGAAATACCCCTTCCTTTAAAACTGAAATCAATTTTACAGGGGATCGAAGATGTTGTTGTATCCCGGTGAAGATTAAATTACAGGTAACTTCCAAGGACTATTAATGAACTAATATTCTATAAATATTCTTATTGTATAACTATTCAACAATTACATTATGTATATTTATATTCCTCTTATGATAAGCTTTATTTTGACCTATAATTTATTATTGTACGATTTACGGTTCTTAAGCTATGCTCAGTCTATTAATTACTGTCCCCCTCGTTCGCAGCCACTTTTTGGCTTATTTGTGTACACATGTTATTTTCTATTTTATGGTACGTTGTGATCTGTCTGGTTGATATATAAACCGAGTATGTCTGAAATAAATGATTCGATTCATATTACAGAAGCTGGTATTACGTTCTGGACTCAAGTGGAAGGGTTAGGAGGACATAGGACCGATCAGGACGCTAAACTGCTCATACCGGTTGAACGTCATTGGTTTGGCATAGTGTGAAATTGTATAAGTCGTATTCTGACTGGTCGATAAGTCGCGTGATAGAAAGCCAGACATCAAGGTCATAACAGATATTACAATTGAACTATTCATTAAGTGATTTATCTTCACAAATTTGATATTTTTACACTGATACCTGAGTAATAAAGAATAAGATTTTCGGTTAGGCCCTAACGAATTAGTTATGTGACCTTCAGTCTAAGTGGTTAGGAATCGGATAACCATATTTGGGAATCAATCATAAAGTCAGTGCCTATTTTCTCGGTGTTATTCTCATTTATAAGTACTATTATTAATCCATGAGTCGATTAAAGCTAGAACACCATGGAACCACTGGATAGTCGTTCCATTCTAGTATGGGACTCCGAAGCAGCGAGCATCCTCGATCACGCGCGCGAACGCCTAACCTCTAGATCACGCTGTTATTGTCTAACTTCAACCAATCCACGAAATCGAACCACCGTCTCCAGTGAGTCACAATCTTACAACAGACCCGGTTGAATTCCACTGGTCACGGCTTCTCATTAGAACTCCAGGGAATACCTCTTGAAGCCAGTCACTAGTGCTTCCAGGTTTTCCATAGTGGTCTAGCTTTAAATGACTCATGAATTCAACTATTAAATTACTACAATCTCCGCAAAACCCCTTTCAGATATTATTAATCCACTAGAGATATATCCGATGAAAATGAAATTTCATTTATTACTACAAATGCTTAAGGCAACTCTGTAATAGAGTGGTGGCTTATAGATTCATTTTTAAATTATATCAAACGATACAATTCAGACTGTAAGTAGAAGAGGTTTCAAACTTATAACCCGGTTAGTCAGTGGCTAAACGTTCAGTACTATAAATAGTAAGCTATCACTCTCACATTCAGAGAATCTGTGAAAGGGGTATAAACAGATATTTAACCTATTTCTACAGAATAGTTGGTAGTTTGGCTGGTGGTGGAATCCAGGTGAATTTTATCCCGCTTAAGACTCGCCAACTGAATGTGCTTGTATTAAAGTTTTGATGCTCCATCGGAACTCAAGCCCAGTACCTTTCGCTTCAAACACTTACAAATAATGTGGTTGTCCTTCCGATTGACGTAAACTTTATTTTGAACAAACGCTTATCACCACAGTAAGGATATCCGCTCTCAAGATAATGTATTTCCCGACTGTAACTACTACCTTAAAGTGGTAGGTTGGGATTGCATATTGTAATAACTCAGCCGAGATATAGTAACGTGTCTTGGATGGTCCACTAGGGTGCTTTGTACCTGTGTGGTTGCGCCACAGGATTGAGCTGTACTATTCAGATTGTAGCATTAAAGCCTATACGGTGTCTATTTCTCCTGTGAAACGGGATTCAGCTGTACTGTTTGGGTTATAAAATTTAAGCCTGGGTGGTGTTTGGCTCTCCTGTCAAACGGGATTGAGCTGTGCTGTTTGGGTTGTCATGTGAATGTCTGGTCCTTCTGAAAACCAATTTAATATTACCCTGACCCACAAGGGTATATATGGCAGGTCTACTGGAGAACGACGATAAAACTAAAGCCAGGGGTTAAGTCGAACTGACGACTGTACAGGGGTATAATAGTAGTACAGTTTTTCCATCAGATTACTATCATCTATTAAGATACTGCTTTCTCGTAGTAGAATGAAGAGGTTAGAAAAGGTCGGGCCTAAAAATGTAACAACTTATTTTACCCCATGGATTTCCATCTATAACAGTAAGGCATTTTGAAGTATAAAGCAAATAGATTAAAAAATTTCCACGAAATGTGTATAACCGTCCCCAAGCAGTTGTTCCTTTCGGCTGTTCGATTACATTCCCAACTCTTTAATAATACCACCATTGACCCTAATTGCATTTTCAATTGACACCCCTCGAAGAAGGAATATTGTTTTATGGTGTGGACAGGCAATCGGGGAATCGACAACTTTCCTCATACCTTTAACAGAATATGAAATCACCTGTCTGTTAAGTATTTATTTTTAATATATACATATAAATTGTTTTATTTTTGGTATACCAACAGAAAAGAAATATTCGTCTAACTCATACATATAGAACAAATTTAAAAATATATGGTAGTTTCCATGCAAACGCTAGAGTACCACATACAGGATATTGATATATATATATATATATATATATATATATATATATATATATATATATATATATATATATATCAAAGAAAGAAGTCAATATAAGAATAGATTAAGGCATAAATCATGATTATGATCGTTGTCGTTATCAATGATAACGATTATTATGAAAGATATATATACTTATATTATATCTATATGTAATATTTAATTATCATTGATTATACTACTTATATTATTATCATTAGTAGTTGTATGTAATGAATAATTATGTGATGTAGAACCATTATCATTACTATTATGTTCATCATTTGTGGTAGATTCATTTGTTGTTAATAAATCAATTAAGTGTTGTAATGGAACAAGTTCACGTTTTTGAACTAAATTAAATTCCTATAAGTAGAAAAATAAAACAAAACAAGCAAATATATTAAACCTTGAAAGAGCAAATTTACTTGATCTTGTTTTAATTATATCTTCCCATTGTTATTTAGGACTGCGATTGATCAGTCTCATGTTGGTATATGCGTATCCTGTATAGATTGCCTTGATATAATAGCCTTAGGTCATAAGCTTTTTAAGAAAAGATGGATAGTGGCTAGCAGTGGAATGGAGGACGCGAATTTCGTCCTATTCGGGACTCGTCAGCCGGATGTACCTGCATCCCAGAGTTGATCTTCACTCTGGTACTCGAACCCAGTACCGTTCGCTTCAAACGTCATCGCGTTGTCCACTTAGCTACTGAGTCCTGATGGCCACATACTTTTGCAATGGGGTGCAGTTTAAATTCACTTGGTGTTGTTTTACTTGTATCTTTCCGTTGTTATTTAGGACTGCAATTGATCAGTCTCATGTTGGCATATGTGCATCCGGAGTCCCGGAGTGAAAATCAACTCTACGGTGCAGGTACATCCAGCTGACGAGTTTCGATAGGACGAAACGCGCATCAAACTGGATTTCACTGCTAGCCACTGTACATCTTTGATTGAAAGAGCAGTTTATGCACTATAACACAAGTATTATTTAAAGAAATGTTTTGATTTATACCCTATTATTCAGTTGTAGATATATAGAAGATATATACGTAAGCATTTCATTGTAAATGTATTTGAATTATTATTGTTAAATAGTTGGACCTAGTTGCTAGGACACTCTGCTCGATTTAAGTCTCGTGCTAATTGGAACTCATCAACAATCCATACCTTCTAATGTTGAACGAATTGATACTTCTTATGGGGATGGGACATGCATCATCCATCATCATTTCTGATAAGCTACTAGGGATAAGAGAAGCTGTGTGGATCAATAGGAATAAGAACTCTTAATCATATAATTTGAATTTCTAACAATTTATTCAGGATATAAGAAACTAAACGCCATAACAAGCTCGCTCAGTGTCCTCCTTTTACATAAAGAGTACTTCAGTCAGTCAATTATAACACAGGACAAGGGATATACATGCATTGGTTTAATCTGCCATATCTCATTAGTAAAGCAAGACAAACACCGGATTCATAGAAGCAGTTTACTTAATGGTGTATTATATAAAGGAAAAGGTTTTATGTAAGGATATAGTACAGAAAGAAAGATATCCCTAGCAACAATCAAGATCACTATAAAGATCGACAAATATATAAATACAAACGAAATAGGGCAATAATACTTACCAATACAAAATATATAAAATGTTTAAAACTTGTATTTAAATGAGCTTCTTCTTGTAGATCTCGTACTTCAGAAAAATGTTGATAATAAATATGTGCATAAACTCGAAATAAACGTTTTAATATCACTTTGACTACATTAAGAAAATCACGTGGAAATGGAGCACCTATTAAAAAAAATAGATTTAATATTCAGATTATATGTCAATGATAAATATTTTAACAATGAATTGATTATTCTATTTAATAAGATACTAACGGTAGTATTTCATATGATTACATAATCATTCTAATGAGTGATTTCTTTACAATTGAAGAATATAATTTTCAATTGATAGCTAAAAGAGTTTAGCATATAAATAGTGGTACAAAAGGGCACTGAATACATATACGCTATACAAGTCACTTGATTTGTGTGTAAGCTATGATACTATTTGGGTGCATACACCGAAATAAGTGGTTTCTTAAGGGGGCCACACGCGGAGCTTCCGATCTAAAAGTCTAATCCACAAGGCAGTGAAGCAACGTCAAGAGATGCAGTCACATGGCAGTCAGTGATCAAAGATTGGTTCATACACCATTTGTTCCTTCAGGTTCATAAAGCCCATGTACATCATTGGTCTAGAATGAGGGTTTTCCAACTCTAATAGGTGGACTCTCCGTTTCCACTATCTCGGTTAAAGCGCAGGACATTTGCATTTCGTCCTCTCAATACCCCTCATAGCGAGGAGGTGAGTAGAACTTCCTTAGCAGTGCCTGTATACGTGTGGCCATGTTAGAGAATTCCAACAGGGAGAGCTGACTCCCTCCACCCTCGGCCATATCAGGGCATTCGTGGGTGCCGTCTCTGATTACTCAGTATTCTCGTTTTTTTAAAGAATAACCTAAATGATATTTCGGCCCCCAAATGTCCTGGTAAGGCCGAGAGTAGGGAGAGTCAGCTCTCCCTCGAGAAATGCTCACAAATGGCCACCTGCATACAACCAGTGGCATAAAAGCCCTACTCACTGCCTTCTCATAGTATTACTGTTATTTACAAAACTGAGAGGACGAAAAGCGAATGTACGGTGCTTCAAACAGGTTGGTGGACACGAGAATCCACCTCGTGGAGTTGGAAAACCCTGATTCCAAACAAATGGTGCACATGAGCTCCAATATCCTGAGGGAACAAATAGCGTATGAATCAACTGTTGAAAACAGCGTACAATGGGACTGCATTTCTTAACGTAGCTCCATTGCCTTATGGATTGGACCTTTAACTCGAAGGCTCCGAATGTGGCCCCCTAAGGAAACCAGCTGCTTCAGTTTGGGCACACGGGCAGTATCCCAGCCCTCACAGAAATCGATTGATTTATGTGGTGCATATCTATTTGGTGTTTCCTTTCACCAATGTTTATGTGTTTAAATAAATAAATAAATTTCATTAATATTACGAACCGACTTTAGTTTGACAACCTTTGAAAAACTGAAAAGACTAAACGACTGTTCCGTCCCAGTATGGGACTTCTAAGCACTGCATGTCCGCAACTCTACCACCGGAAGTTGGATTTAGGACCTACGATTATGCATGTTATTCGGTAGCCCAATAGAATTTCTGTTCCACTTTTGTCTTCTTGTTCATATAGTCAATTTGAAGGATTAGCGGATAGCACGCTGTGTATCAGTATCAGATCTCCGATATCCAACATCATACCACATACACTTTGGTTTAAAAGCTCAAACATTATTTATATTACTTGTTATTATTATCTTCTTTTTCCCACTTTCAATTAATAGGTCCCTCTTTCGCTATGAAATTATTGATATAATTCTAAATCATTACATATTACTGTAGTTGATTCGTTATTTTCTAAATTTTATGGTTTGCTCATATCCAGTGGTAATACCATGTTAGTTATAATGAAGTCATGGCCTGTGACGGTCATTCAACTAATGTCACTGCCTTGAAATACTAACTTCGGTGGCTTGGATATACATCACGAATGTCACCGCAGAACATTTCTTATCGGGTATTAACTGTCAACGTCAAAACTGGATAAAAAAAAGCGAAGAGATGATTAGTTTGTGACATAATACCCTGGTATGAAAGAGAGTACTTTATGTTTAGCATATGTAGTGTGTAATCGCTCCACTTAACATTAATAATAAATCAATCTAATAGTAATAATTCATAAACTAAAAACCCACCAATTTTCGATGGAAATATAGCTTCATTCTCCAATTGTTTTTGAATCCATATCATTAAACAATCAATATAATGTGGTGCAGAACATTTCAATGGTTTTTTCACTGTTTGTCCATCAGCCCAATGATATTCATACTTTGGACCAGCTGACATAATTGGACATGTATCATCCGTACAAAATTCAAGTAATGTACCATAAAGCATATTAATTTGATTGAAAAAATCTACAGCTATAAGAAGATATACATATACAGTCATTTTTATTAGGTGAACAAATAAACAAAATAAATAGAATAATAGTGTTTGGTTAAGCATTAATTCTGCATAACAGTATGGTATTATATGATTACTAACGACCAACTCTGAGAAATGATTATTATTCCTGGAGTTTTAGTAGGAAACCGCGACCAAAAGACTTCAACTATGTCGGCTGTGAGGAAAGTACTCACTGAAGGCAATGGAAAATGGTTGGACAATATTGTTAATTGATTAGAGTTAAACTTGTACACTTTTAGATCTCAGCTCAGGGAAACCAAAGGTTCTGGGTTACACTGCTAATGATAGAATCGTGGAAGAGTCAAATACTAGGATGAAATAACTATCCAGCTCTTCGACATTTTTAATATTCATCAAAATTAGATCGGTTCGTGATCTCAATACATATGCCAGGTTAAATATCGTAAAAAATATGTATAATTTTAATAGTTCATATTCTATTTGAATAAGAATCTTTTTTTCTCATTAGGAATTGACGTTATCAGAGTTGAACAACGATTAAACATAAGAAAGAGTGAACATTATACACTCACGAGACTTCACAGGATCAAACATATAACTCTATTGTGTTGATAATGAGAAAAATTTAATCTAATAAATGAATACATGAGAAGAATTTTAATACCATCAAAAAGATATTATTAATATGAGATCAGATTTAATTCCATTCACTACCTCAGACGTATTAGAATAGATCAATGAGAATTCGAAAGTGTACATTATATTAGTTTAGAATCAAGGTTTCTCAAATCCCTTATGTAGATCCTCAATATCCATCAATCTGTTTAAAGCGCTGGATATTCGTTTTTTGTCCAATTAATTTTGTAAACAACACTCACGTGATGTCAATGCAATCAGTACAACTCCCTTCTCATAGTGGTTATAAACACACCAAGAGAAGTTGATCAAACGGGAATGGGGTAATAAGCTTTTTTTTACATGATATCAAGATGACCTTGGTAAAGTCAAATTAAACTTGTTTATTTAAAGTACAGGACTGAATATGACCAATCAATAGGTAGAAAGATCTTATTTTGAATAGACTTTATAATCCAGCAGCACGATGACATATTAGTGTCACAGTAGTTTGAATAACAGGAGGATCAGATGCAGACGTAAATGCGAGGATTGGTAAAGCAAGGACAGCATTTCTACAATTGAAGAACATATGGAACTCCAAACAACTGTCAGCTTATATCAAAGTCAGAATCGTTAATACAAACGTCAAGACAGTTAGTCATATTGTACGGAGCTAAAATGTGGAGAACTACTAAAACCACCATCAAGAAGGTACAAGTATGTATAAATAGTTGTTCACGCAAGATACTCAACATACATTGACCGGATACCATCAGCAACAGCCTTCTATAGGAGAGAACAAACCAGCTTCCAGTTGAAGAGGAAATTAAGAAAAGACAACGGAAGTGGATTGGATATATATTACGGAAATCATCAAAAGGTATCAGGACCAAGCCCTAACTTGAAATCCTGAAGGGAAGCGGAAAAGAGGAAGGTCAAAGAACACATTACGTCGGGAAATAGAAATAGAAATGAAAATGATGAATAAAAACTGGAAAGGATTGCCCAGGACAGAGTTGGATGAAGAATGTTGGTGGGTGGCCTGTGCTCCCCGATGAGGGTTATTAGGCGTAAGTAAGTAAGATTGACTAATACAGCATGAATAAATTAGTTATATAATTCAAGTTAACTGATTCTACAGTTAAAAATCATTGTTATTCTAGAATAGTTAAACGCTGTACTAAACAAAATGATAATATTGTAAAGGGAAACAATAGGGAAATATTGATAGAGGAAAGATATGATTCACTTGAAGTGAAATTGAAAATAGTTTATTTTATCTGAAGAAAATTCATTTTATTTACATGAATAATATAACAATCAACTTAATACTTTGAGTCAATCAAATGATAAGTGCATGCTATTGGTCAAGATCTGACTTAATTTTCTAAGGGACAAAGATAGATAGATATATTCTCACTTTCAAGATTCTTGCTTAGTAGTTAGTTGGACATGTGTATATAAAGTTTGTGTATTAATATCAGAATAAGACATCGTGTAACATAACAAAACTAGAATAAGACTGTCATTAGATTATATTCTAACCCATAACTAGCAAAATCTTAAACTGATAAGTTATACTATCTCTACGACATCAACTAGAGGAGGTAGCCAAGAAAGATTGATAAACGGTATATCTATACAACAATATTTTATACCACGACGCACTACATATAATACCAAAATAGTTTGTGGAGATTTTCTCAAATACATAAGAATACTAAAAATATTCTTCATTCTTTCTTTTTTTTACTATTTAAATTTATGTTAATTTTATGTGAGTTGTTTGTTTACTCTGAAGAAGTGGCTTAATTTAAGTTACAAAACATTAGAAATACAATTTTCTACTCATTGAAATATCACCAAAAAAAGAATATATTTTATCATTACATAAGAGTAAATAGGAATAGATGACCACCTGTAAATTGTTGAAAAAATACATTCAACTTAAAGAATATGTGGTAAAGTACATTACTAACTGTAAAGTTTAGATGCTTTTAAGTTTAACAAAACCTTAACCATATGTTATAATAATACGTTCCATACTCTTTAGTTTAGTTAGTTAGAATTATGAAACTAAGCAGAGATAATATGCACTAGTTCATCTTGAGTTCTTACATAATTATTTAATCTATTGTATGACATTTATTCATTATTATTATAAACAGATACAAAAAGGCGCCAAATATATATGTGCCACACAAATCATTCGATTAATGTGAGGGTTGGAATACTCCCCGAGAACTCGAACCGAATTAAGTGGTTTCTTAGGGGTCCTAACACTGAAACTTTGAGCGCGTGGTTGTAATTGATGTTCAGGCACACGTAACACGTGGCCCAACCATCTCAGTCGATGAAGATTTACAACCTCATCAACTGATTTATCATTATTCACCATGCATAAAATAATAGTCTCAATAACTAAACAAATACATCATTAGTGATAAGAACCAATAAGATTAAAATACAGTATCAGTTCAGAAATGTTAGATAACAACTAAAAAACAAAAAGAAAAGAAAATTAAAGTCAACTAATAGAATACTGTATATGAAAATTAGAATTCTCAGAAGAGGTTTTGTGGAGATTGTAGTAATTTCAATAGTCGAGATCATGAGTCACTTGAAGCTAGACCAACATGAGAAACCTGGAAACACTGGACGGCCGTTTCGTTCTATTGTGGGACTCATCAGCAATGCGCATCCACGACCCCGCCTCGCGGGATTCGAACCAAGGACCTATCCGTTTCACGCGCGAACGCTTAATTACTGGACCACTGAACTGGCCAGCATCCAACGGTGTTTATGTCTAACTTTAAATAATCCACGAAGTTAAGCGACACATCCACCATTGTCATCAGCGAGTTACTATCTCACAACATACCCGGTTAAAAATAACAATACTGAAGTAATCTCTACTCAAAATACAAAAAAAGAAATTAAACTAATCAACTGTAGTTCTTCGAAATGAATACAAATTCTATTTCATTTAATAGTAATGAATTAGTAATAATGTATTTATGTAATCAATAAGGCTCTATTTCATTAATTGATTCACATTTCAAATCATATGGCATTGAAAATAACTGAATTCTTGTTATTTTTTTTGCTGTTTCTTTGACAAGTTAACAAATAAGACATAATTAGTAGTAACATGTAACAAATAGAGGTGAAGGAGAGAGAGACAAAGAGTAAGATAAGGGAGAGATTAGACTAATTAATACGTATGTATTTTATTGTTGCTATGATCTTAATCACATACAGTAATCATATGGAATCGAACAATTTATGAAATTGTTTCAAAAACAAAACAAACAAACATCTATTAAGATGATTGAGAAAAACAAAAGAATTCGTATATAATCAATGTTTATTGATGAATAAAATTATGAAATTTAGATCAAATGTAAAATGCACAAGAAGAACATGTGATTTTAATCTATGAATTAAGAGAACATTGATAATTGATCTATTGATGAATAGTTTTGTTAATCTTTGTAAGATTGATGCATATGATCATCATCGTCATCATCTTTAGTTGATATACATGTGTGTGTGTACGTAATTCAATAATGTATACATCAGAGTAGAATATGTAATCGTTTTGTCAAAAAAAATCATCAAACAAGTTGATGATGGCAACGCTACCAATAATAGTAAACTTTTATAACTGTACTTAAGTGAAAAAAATGGATAGTTACTAGTACTAGAAATTAAGACTGGTAATTCGTATTATTCGAGACTCGTCAGTTGTATGTACCTAGATCTCAGTGTTGATGTTTACACCGAGACTCAAACCTAATGTCAATGTAAACAAAACGTTATTAGGTCTAATTAAACGTTAGTTTATGAAACAGGGATGAATTTCAATTTATTTATAAGCGTTTGATAACGATGATCAATATTCTTTGGGATGTATGCAATACTAAACTGATTGCCTCAATATTTTTATAAAATCGCAAGTAATTCAATACAATTGAACTTAATAATTCAGTGAATGATGCGTTAGTCAGTTGAAGTGAAAAATGACAGCTTAGAGTCCCAATGTGAACAATAACACTGTGATACAAGTCCTAAATAGAAAGAAAAGCACTTCCTGAATCCTACTGATAGTTACTATCCAATTTTACTTAAATACTTGTGAATATCTGGTAATATTGAGGCACTTCCACTCAACATATACATATGTCAAAAGAAATTGATTAACTGAAGTCTTGAACATCAACAACGAGCAGATTCAAGCCCTTACAAATACAAGTGTTATTTTACTGTTCAGTAAGTCATGAATGGGTCTTTGAAAACGATAAAATCACACTACACTGACGAATTATTCAAATTAAAGATAGCGATTATTAGATTGGTATGTGTTTTGTGAGAAGTTAAGTATAACCCACTAGTATTTAGTTACTAATACACGCTTCAAAATGCCCTGGTACGACCGGCAATAGGGAGAGTCGGCTCTCCCTCGAGAAATGCTCACAAATGGCCACGCGCATATAGCCACTACCAGGGGAGTACTACTCACTGTCTTCCGATGGTATTACTGTTATTTACGAAATTGAGAGGAAGAAAAGCGAATGAACCGCGCTTTAACCGGGATAGTAGACACAGAGAGTCCACGTAGGGGAGTTGGAAAACCCTGATTCTAAACAAATGATGCACATGAGCTCCAATATCCCGAGGGAACAAATGGCGTATGAACCAACTTTTGAAAACCGGCTAAAATGGGACTGTATTCTTTAACGTTGCGTCATTGCCTTATAGATTAGACCTTTAAGTCAAAGGCTCCGAGTGCGGCCCCCTAAGGAAACCAACCGCTTTGGTTTGGGCACCCGGGCAGTATCCCAGCCCTCACATAAATCGATTGATTTATCTATTTGGTGCCTCCTTTCATCAATGTTTATGTGTTTAAATAAATAAGAGAAGTACTAAAACACAAAAATTAAACAAATCGGACCATGATTTGAGATTTTTTGAAGAAAACTTGATATTTAAAATCAATCAAATCATTTTAGTAATGTACATTGAATGAATAACCTACGTAGAAGGGTAAGTGAACTTAGAATATTTAAGTTCAACCGATACTGATTACGACTTCTTGGTTGGAAGTGGTTAATAATAACCCATTCAATGTCAGTTTTACATTTTCATTCAATTCGGTGATGAATTAGATATATATATTATATGAGTAGTAACAGTAGAAGTCATTGAGGAAAGCACCCAACTACGTCACAAGGTAAGCATGGAATTCTCAAGGTTAAAAAAAATAGGAAGACCGGAGAACACATTAGACCGAGAAAAGAAGACAGACATGAGAAGAATGGATAACAGTTAGATAGAACTAGAAAGGAAAGCCCAGGACAGAATGGGTTGGAGAATGCTTATCAGCGGCCTATACTCCATTGGGAGTAACAGGCGTAAGTAAACTAGTAAGTAATTAAAACAGTACAAGTGGTAATAGAAAATACTCCACATAAAAAATATGATACAGGGATAGAGAATGAATTCTAGCAATAAACCGCAGAAGATAATTTTAAAACTCAAAATCTAGGAATATAATGAATGGGTCTAGAATGTTACCGCTGATTGTGAGGTATGTCATTCAACTTCCACATTAATTGATCAAAATGATCTTTAGCCATTCTAACATGTTTCAGTCTAATATTCAGTGATTTCATAAACATTACGGTATGTCATGCTCTGACTCTATTTCACTACTACCATGTAGTTATTAATATAATCAAAAAGAAATCTTCGTTTTAGTACATAAATTCTTAAGAAGACTTAAACTTAAGATTCAATGATCCAGTTCTTTTTTTATAGAGTTTGTAGATTTTAATGGATTAAATCTATTTTTACTCTTAAGTTAAAGAATGTTATATTTATGCATTATTATATGATCTATGCTAGAATGTAACCATATTTAAACTACTTGAGAACTATGTTTAGAAAAAGAATTCGATATTACATTTATAGGAAATTTGATATTTTATTTTTAATCTTAACGCATGCACAGCAGTTGTCAAGATAACTTGGTTCTTTTTTTAAAGAAACTGCTATCTCATTTAGTTTTGAAACCCATTCACCATTCATTCTTGTTAGGTTAGTGTTCTATCCCGATGAGAATGATGAATGATAATTGTTAGGATCTATTTATGGACTAATACTATACGTATATTTTTATTGTATAATTGTTAAGTAGCTAAACTATTCATATTCATATCCCTCTTATTATGAGCTTTATTTTGATCTATGAACTATTATTATACGATTTACCATTTTTTGATTAATGCCCAGTCTGTCATTCAGTAACAACGTAGAACTTCGTACGTACGTACATCATTCCGAGTTACCATACCACATTAGCACAGAGATGCAGTTGTCGATTCAAATCCCGTAGTGGTACAGGTAGTAAGAGTATAAGCAGTAATCGGAAACATTAGGGTTTGAAGATGTCCTTTGAAGAGCATAATCCAGTGAGATAAATTTGGAAAGAGGAAAAAAAGGACATGAACAATTCCGAAGATTAGAATTTGGGAGAACACGAAGAGTGGATGCACCTGCGCCATCGCAAACGATTTTGAGCCATGTCATTCAGGGTCTCTAACCATCGGTTGCTATCATCTCGCGGATCCCAACCAGGAAGTCTACACGTACCAACATGACTCAGCTCATAGACTTGTGCCATGCTTTGGTCTGGCCGCCCATACCTTTCTTTCAACCTAATCCTATACTATTGAACATCGCACGTCGAGGCAGTCGGTGGTTGGGCATACATAACACGTGTCCCAGACATCTCTACTGATGAGGTTTTACTACTTCATCAATTAATTTGCCATCCTCATCTATTACTCGTTTCCTAACAACTGCGCTACTTACTCGATGGTCCCAGGATATACGAGCAATGTTTCGAAGACACCTATGATCAAATACTAGTAACCTACGAATATCCTCTACTTTTACCGGCCATGTTTCACAGCCATAAAGTAGGACGGAACGAACTGCTGCGCAGTAAACACGTCCTTTGGTTGATAGACGGATATCTCGCCTACGCCATAAATGACGCAAGTTGGCAAAAGTTAGTCGAGCCTTCTGTATCCGTGCTGAGATTTTGTCACACACCAGACCACAAGGGCTGATGAGACTTCCCAGATAAATGAAGCGGTCGACACGTTCAACTACTTCACTCCCAGTCTATCTATTACTATCTCCCACAATCACAGCCACTTTTGGCTAGATCTTGTACAAATGTTATTTTCTATTTTATGGTAAGGTGTGGTCTGTTTGGCTGATGTATATAAACCTAGTATTTTAAATACATGAGTGATCTCGCAGAGGCTGAGATTGGTGTTCTGAACTTAACAGGCAGGGCTAGGCGTGAAGCAGGACCGGTAAAGAATCTAGACTGCTCGTAAGGGTTCTATGCATAATTGGTCCGGTCGATAATTCACTCTGCTGTAATTGGCGGTATCATTACGTTATGCATTAACCCACAAGTTATAACAGTTAGTACCGTTAATTTTTTATTGTCACAGATATTATTGCAATTTTAACGAACGAACACATAGATGATGAAGATCAATTTATTGTTTAATGCACAATCATCAAATAGTGGTTTAGTAAAAAGTGATAATCATACATCATTTGCACATCTTCTTTGAATTGTCTCTTATAAACTTTATTGTTCTTTCATTCCTGTTTTTATTTGGATTGTTTTCAGTTTCCTTCTCTGTTCTCTTTGTTTCAATCCTCTTAATGTTCTGCTCCCATACATTTCACTTCCGACTGGTGTTACATGATACTTATACTTGTAGACATAAGAGCATACACCATAATACTACTACTACTACTACTGTGTTGTGTGCTACTTATATTGACATAAGTAGTAGATGATGTTAGTCGTGAACAGAAGGTCTGGCAGCAGAGAGACAAGAGGATCGAACAGTAAAGAATGGGAACAGAATGCAATTTGTATGAAAATGCAAGAAGAATGAAGTCCGAGTCATTTTGAGACAATTGGTGGACATTTTGCAAATTAATCATTTACTTTATGATTTTTAGATTTTATCAACAAGTCCTGTAATTTTGTGTTAAATACATTCTATTGTCCCCACTGGTGTTCTTGTTCACTAAACTACTACTTCTAATACTAAGATATTCATCTCGCTGTACTGATGCGGTGTAGCAACTTCAACCGATATGCCAGGTTATACGTTTTTTATAATCGATATTAAAAATAATTCAATACAATCTTCACATTTAACAATTGATTCAACAGTTTTAAATCCTTCGCTTCGAAATTGCAGGAGTGTCATTAAGAGTCAGTTATCATACGTACTGTGCATAGCAGTCTAACAAACTAAGTCCTATGTAGTGAATTGTAGGTGTTTAGTGAATAAAGTCATAGTGAAGATAAAGTAACAAAATCATGCAGGGATTTCGTCAATAACCACAATCCAAAAAGATGATAAAATGTCCAAGTTAAATGAATTAACTAACACAATTCATTACTCCATCTATTATTACCGACGACGCATTAACATAAACCCAGATATTATATAAACATCATCAATGTAGAACCCAGCAGGAATATGAGTTGATCCAAGCCCTCACGACATATTAGCACAACGAGAGAAGATTGACAAGATGGGTGGTAAACAGTATCGAAATAATGTAGTGGCAATCATAACTACAAAGACTAAATATTGAAATCTGGTTTGAAAAGACTGAATGGAAAGGTATTTTTGAAAAAAAAAATTGGAATTCAAAGAGGAAGAAAAAGAGTGAAGATATCTTCCCCATGATAAAACAATTCTAAGCTTTATCACTCAAATTCTCTAATCATTAGTTATGGTTATCCGATGGACTATAATCAAATGGTCTGTATTTACGATTATGGTTTAGATTAACAGTAAATGATTTTATAAACTAAACGGATACTATTTCTCTAGATAGCCAGTCAATCATATAGATTAACAAATACAATAGTAAAAACCTAGTTGTATATATTATCAATCAAACAATTAACAAATCAGTAATATTATTAAATAGAATAAACTATACTAAACTTACTGTTTATAGCAATCCATTCATGTAGATCTTCACCTTCAGGTAGACGAACAGCTAAACGTAAATCTCCACTACCCAATGTTGCAGCAGTTTCTGGTAATAAATCATTTTGTTTACCATTGACATCATGATTATTATTATTATTACCAATAGTAGGATTATGATTACTTGTATTAGTAGAAGGATTATTATTATTATTATTAGTTTCAGAGATATTTTTACGTGGTTTGAATGTTTTGCTGCATAATCGATTACCGCTAAAAAGTTGTGATAATAATTTAATATTAAGCATATAATCCATTATAAATATAAAACAATATCTCAATGTACTATTATTATATCATAACATATTATCATTAGTATATTGTACGGAAGTTATATAACTATAGGCATATATATATATATATATATATATATATATATATCATACAGTAGAGAATATACACAAAATATAACAACCTACATGCACATAAAACACTGAATTGAACACGTTTTTGAATGGATATTTCAATATATAACAAGTGTAAATTTAATAGGTAACAATGATGATGATGATGATGACGATGATAATAATACTAATACTCTTATCAAAATAATGATATACACATAAATATAAATAAAAGAAGTTTGTCAGTTAGTAACAACAACAACACCAACAGCAACAACGAAAAAAAAGAAAACAAAACAAAAAAGAGAGAAAAGGATCAATTGAAAGAAAATAAAAAAAGTTTTAATTTCTTTTCTTTATATTATTTATAATCCTTTTTATATGATAAATGTATCTTGTGACTTTCTTCATTAGAATATGAATAATGACAATGAAAGAATTATTATAACAAAACAAAATAAAATAAAGAGATGTATATATATATATATATATATATATATATATATATAAGCTGACATTCATATGTACACTTATTGGCTCATTTAATTATTCAATCAAAGTTAATGAATTAGATAATTTCATATTATGCATATCATTAAAATAGTTTGTTTTTTTTTCTTCTATAATAATAAAGAAGTCATCATGTGAACAGATCAATATACACAACTATATATACAGATTGTACTATTTTTGCACCGTACTTTGACAATTAACAATAATCGTATGTTAATATGAGGTAAGTAGGTTGTAATTTTCAAAAAAAAATAACAACAACAAAATAAACATAGGGGATTTATAATATATTGTAATATATATGCAATCGAAATGATTAAAATTAAATCTCACTGATTGGAATCATGAGTCAATTGAAGCTAGACCACCATGGGAAACCTGGAAGCACTGAACGGCCGTTTCGTCCTAGTATGGGACTCCTGAGCAATGCGCATCCACGATCCCGAACCCCGCGAGATTCGAACCCAGGGCCAATCAGCCTTGCACCAGGCGCTTAACCAACTAGACCACTGAGCTGGCCGGCATCCAACGGTGTTAATGTCTAACTTCAACCAATCCACGAAGTTGCGCCACCGTACACCAATGTCTTCAGTGAGTTGATATCTCACAACAGACCTGGTGCGGGATCGTGGATGCGCACTGCTGAGGAGTCCTATACTGGGACGAAACGGCCGTTCAGTTCTTCCAGGTTTCCCATGGTGGTCTAGCTTCAATCAACTCATGATTTCAATTAGTGAAATTTCTAAAATCTCCACAAAACCCCTTCTGGTAAAATCAAATCACTTATATGTTACAAAAAAAGGATTGATTGAACTTAACGTTCGATGATATATGAATAATATGAACTTGGTAATAACGGACAATTTAGTTAACACTTAATGAATTTCATAGATCAATTACATACAATGTAGAACTTCGGGAATATGCACATCCGTTCAAGTTGTCATATTTACTAGGTAAGTGGATAAAATAATAGTATATGAAGCGAACAGTATTCAGTTTGAGTTCCGCAAAGAATATCAATTCTAGGATGCAGATACATCTTGTTGACAAGTCTCAAATACGATGAAATGTGCGTCCTGAATTCCACTGCTAACCACCATTCATTTTTGCCACCGATATACACTGGTACGGCTGAGAAGTGGAGAGAGTCAGCTCTTCCTCTCGAAATGCCCTCACATGACCATGTGTATACAGCCTCGGTCAGGGAAGTTCTAATATTGCTTCCTCGCGGTGGCGGTGTTGTTTGCAGAATTAAGAGGACGAAAAGCAAATGTTCGGCGCTTTACTCGGGTTGGTGGATATAAAGGATTCACCTATGGCAGCTGGAGAACGCTCAATCCAAACATGTGATGCACATGGACCCCAGGGTCCTGAGGAAACAAATCGTGTATGAACCAAACGTTGATCACCGGCTACCATGGGATTGCATTTCCTGACGTTGCTCCACAACCTTGTGGATCAGACCTTTAGATGGAAGGCACCGGGTGTGACCCCCTAAGAAAACCACTTGCTTCAGTTTGGGTGCCCGGGGAGTACTCCAGCCCTCGCATAAACCGAATGACTTATGTAGCGCATATAGATTTGGTGCATTTTTGTGCCAATATTTGTGTTTGAATAAATTAATAACCTCATCAGTACATCAAGTTAACACTATCAGGGCAAATTCAAAAGTGGTAGATGTGGCAACAGAAAAGATTAGACATCGAACACACTATTCGAGAAAATATAAATTTAGTGAAATATAAAGTATTTGTAAACAGTTCAATACTTGAGGTTTAAGGGAAAACAAAGTGTGAACGCACCTAAGCTACAGTGAACGACTCGGAGTCATGTCATTCACTCTCTACACCAGTCATCATTGCCCATCGAGGTAGTCGGTGGATGGTCATATTTAATACATGTCCCAGGTACCTCAGTCGATAATGATCCACTAAATCGTCAATCGTTTTGCCATACTAACGTAGTACTATGCATATAACCTTAGAATTTCTAACTTGATGTTCCAAACAATTTATTCGAGGACACGTAAGATTGAATACCAGTAACCTATGAATATACTCTATTTTTAGACATTTCACAGTTAAAGCCGAACAGAGCGAACTGCAACACAGTAGATGTTTCGTATCACATATGAGAACATGAATATGATAGTCAGTGTTATTATCAATATCTGAAATAATTTCATGAGAGCTTATCATTAAAATTAAATCGTTGATGTCCTTAATTACCCGATACATTTTCGATGACCATAAAGAAACTATTGGCTTGTTATATAAATTATCCTCAAAGAAATACGTTATGTCAATCCTTATGGTATTTCAAATAAGGTGGAGATCAGAAACATGGTAGTCGCTGAATGTCCTGATGTTATTTTGGTCCGAAAATTATGATTAATATCAGAAATAAGCCACAATTAAATGGCACTGACTCGATTCTCGAACTGTGGAACTGACAGAATAAGTCGTAGAGATGACCGTTCTATCCTTTACTAGAAAAATGTTTTAACTATACGAACTCTTGAGACAGTGACATGTGATTCACAAACATTTTAATCGGTGATGTATCGGCTAAAATATAAAGTAGGACATGAAACTGTTAGTATTATGTCGCAGCTTCGAATATACAGCAAATAGTTTCGTTTTTGATAAGCTCCGTTCTAGATCAAAAAGGTTCAGCAAGTTCGTCTGATCAGGAACCATTGTCAACCAATCTTACTCTAGTTCAGAATATTAAAGATCATATCAGAAATGACTTACAAACACTATCACTGACTTAATTCTCACTCACGAACACAATGTTATTCGACGTAATCCCTTCTCAATTATTTGCAGAAGTGACCACTGCCTCTTCCTAAGACTGGACAAAGGACTACAGAGCATCAGTTGGAGAGGTATGGGGTCGTTTCCGGAAACTAAAGCCAATATTTATACCTTGGAAAGACCCAAAAGCAAGAACGACTCTGCATTAGCCATAAAATTTAATGCTTTTTGCAACTAAAGAAAAGAACAGAGAGACATCATTGTCAGTCTCCGTACAGTTGATTCAAGGGAACTTTACCAAATCCGTAACTCACGAAAGAAACGTGGAAATCAACTCTCACGAATTTTAATAAGGCATGTGTGGCGCATATATATTTGGTGCCCTCTTGTACTAATATTTACGTGTTCAAATAAATATAATAAATAAGTAATAAGGCATACAATGTCACTACTCTTCTATGTTGATTACAAGATAAAAACGAACCAATGGATTTCCGTTATAATTAAGGAAGTTTCTCAGACGATAGAAGATGATTAGAACAAAGCAGAAGCCATGTGCAATTACTCAGGCAACGTCTTTACTCATAACCTCCTTCTTTTTACAGATGGTGTGTTGAATCCATTAGGCTATTTGGATACGGAAAAATCAATACGGATGGATGAGCTACCGGTGAGACTATAATTTACAGAAGACCTTTGAGCGACGAGACTGACCTTGAGAGTGTCCACCTGATAACCAGGACCAAATGAGGGTTATAAACCCATGTGAGGAATTGGAATTATGATTTGCAGTTTATGATTTAGGTTAGAAATTAGATTTAGGGCTTTCATCATGAACTGAGATCAGTTTTAATGCCAAAACTCTACTTAGCCAAACAGATGAGTGAATTTCACGCGAAAATACGAGTTCTGTTATCTTACATGTGATTGGTTCGTCAGTAAATTATAGTCTCGCCCATTTCTCATCCATTACATCATATCACATTACAACTTGGGATATAAGTGGCTGCCTCCCCTCACCACGATATTCGCAATGTCACTCAGTTAGTGTGTTACCAAGACTAGAAAGATGCGACAGTCACTCCGACACATGGGACTGAGTATAAATAACATCTGTCCAAATACAGACTAAGTCTCACTTGTGTTGCAATCAATACATTTCAGTCATTATAAAGAATACTATAATCTTTATAAACGCCCACAGCTTACTAAAACGTTAACGGCATGGCTTCAGAAATGGTCGACAGCATATGATAAATCTTTTACCGACCAAGCATACCTGAGCAGATTAACTAAACAGCAAAAAGTCATTGGATATTATTCCAATAGACATTAAAAAAGCCTTCGATAGGCTTCCGTATAATAGGCTCTTAGTGAAGCTGGCAAGTTTAGGAATCTTCGAATACTTGTTTAGGTAGTTTAGAGACATTTTGGGCGGTCACCCACAGAAAGTCTAAGCTAATTGCAACATCTCTTACTGGATACCAGAACTTAGAAAAGTACATCAGAGCCTACTGTTATTTATTCTCTATGTCAACGAACCTACATTTATCATGCTACACCAATGCTACTTTATGGCGATAACATCAAGTTACGGTCAGATCATGTACATCCATTCCATGCAGACCACGAAATTCTGGTAGGCTGGTCCAAGTTATAATTAATATTTGCTAATAAAACTAAAAGCGTCACCATGGACAATGGACACAAACGGCCGTAACTGCAAATTTAGAGAAACTCCTGACTTTATCCCTAACTTATGGTCACAGCACATTTAAGTGTTACGACTACAGCTCTTTGATGTGAAGTTGCAGCTGAAAGGATGTCAAGACTAACATTTACAAAGTCAAGTACAATTCCGTTCACTAAGTTTTCCACAACCCTTATGGGAGCTAAATTCAAAATGTGTACTTCTTCCAGGTCCTTACTTAAAAGATGACACAGAACTGAGAGAGGATTTATTTATGACGTAAAGGATGGCAAGGAATGAACTTAGGACTAATTAATTCTCTTTCTGTCTTCCACCTAGGTCAGGACAACTTGGAGGGTATGGGAAGAGCCAAGAATGAACAGGATCTACAAGGCGTGTAGACTTTTTATCACTGCGTAATGAACGCTTGAATTTTATGCCAGAAGGAGGAGTGTCTACACTTTTAATCAGCTCGTT